TTTCACACAAACTTCAATTTCCATTGGTGATATTAACTCAATATAGTGCTGTTACAATGTTACAATAATATCATTGTCCAAAACATGCTTCAAAATAATAAATCGACCACGATTATATTAGTCTACACAAAATATTCCAACGAGTAGTTCATATGGCAAAAAATTCTACAGTATGTGACTGTAATTAAGAAATTATAATAATTAAAAATACATCGACCAACGTAACAAAAGCTCTCGTAGCTCAGTTGGTTAGAGCACCCGTTTAGTAAGCGGGAGGTCTTGAGTTCGACTCTCAACGAGAGCAATTTGATTTTTGTAAATTTATCTTATTTCTCCATTGCAGATGGGTCACCAGATTGCCCCATGGAGTCGCCTAATCATATGATTTGCAGAATAGAATAAAACTTTTGGCCTTCAATTTATGAGTAAATAAATAGTTAGATTTGCAGGAAAAAATAATAATATATTATTTGCCCTTCCATTCCACTATTATATCTATACTCTTTGTAAAAGCTGAGAAATAAGAGAGACAATTTGGAACGATAATGTCTTTACAAATAATTTATATACGTCCTTATATTAATATGAGTAAAAGAAAAAACAAATATTTAGTCCTAAAAATATTATTCTTCTACACGCATTTAAAAAATTTACTTGGACGTGGACGTGGTTTTTTATCCTTCGCCTTCTACGTTAATCTTCCAATTCTGCATTTCTTTGTCAAATATCAATTTGTATGTTGATAGCATTCTCACCACACCCACAAAAATACAGCACCAACTGGTTACATAACTCAGACCCAGAGATACAAAGAGTACTATAATCGGAATTTTTGTAGCTCTCAAACTTAGGGATTACATTACTGGAAAAAAGGAAGATGAAATAAAGATATAACAAATTGAACTTGTACTACTTTTTGATATTCCAGTTGTGCGATGTCCGAGGTGCAGCTGCAATGCCATCGTAGTATCGGGGTTCGAGCTCCTTCTTGTTCCATTCGACGACAAACTCTTTGAATAGATCACGAGCAGAATCGGAAGAAAGATCTGAGAAAAATATTCTCCTCTCCTCTTTCAGCCATGTAGCAAATTCATTGTTCTTGGAGAAATAGTCTTCATTGGACAGTTCTTGGAATTTCAGTTTCTGAGAAAAGGATAAAGAAAAGATAACAGCTGAGAAAATAAGTAGAGTGATTAATGCTACTTGAGATAACAATTACTTCTACTCTTGCAATGACTTCACATTACAGCAGTTAATATTGTTGTAAAGAATATCTTGTGCACACTCAACACATGCAAAGTGCCCCAAGCAAAATCCAGGCTCAACAAAAAAGAGAGGAAAAAGCTCAAAAATCCCAAGAAGATTTTAAACTACTGAAAAAGACAATAGAAGTCAGTACTACAAAGTAGATTTAAATATTCTGAAATTGCTCAAGTCTTCTGATAATCTTCTGATCTCATAGTAGGATCTCTAAAAATTTAATGAAAAAAATACTGAAAAGATGTACATTCCTCGATATTTTATCAATCATGCCTTTAGTAGAGTCTTGATTTGAAAAGCCTTCAAATATGGGTACTTGTAGTTTAAATTTTAACGAGAAACACACGTGCATACAAAGGAAAAGCACATGTAGAAAGATACAAAAGATAGATGTCAGATTGTTAAGTACACAAGTTATCAAAACAATGACCATAAGAACTAAGAACACACAGGTAATAACTATCTAAAAATTGGATGAACTGCAACAGATGAGCGACTAGTTAAATCCCAATTTCTATGGGCATTGTGAAAGGATTTGAAATGTGAACATAACAAAGCTATTGGATGAATATTAATATTTACTTCAAAACCAAAATGAAACCTGATGAATGAAATACCGGGATATCCCAAGACGAACTTGTTTTAGGGAGGATTATCTTCAAATATAGTATAGTCAAATTGAAATGACCAGGCATAATCAAGTTACTGAACGTGACATAATTTAATTAAATAGTCGTATTGATATTTGATAATGCTTCCTTAGCATTATAATCTACAGGAAGAATCAATTTGCAATTGTCTAGGTCCATTATCGATTAATGAAAGGAACCCTCAGCAACAATCAATTTAACCATCTGAATCAGAATTGCATCCTTATTAGAATTCCTCTGATCCAAACGAAGGGAGAGATGGTATTGGGAGTCCCCAAAACGGAGTGAGAACGAGTTTGCTAATCTATCTTATTTAACTCCTCGATGAGCCCCTCAGAAAGAAGGTAATAAAGAAGATCAGGTGGATATAATTATTGCATTAACTCCCCCCAAGTTTTTAGATGAACATCTCTTTGTTTTCCTACAAAATCTGGTATGAGAAGTCAGAGTGGCCAACTGATACAATTGACACCATGTTTGGCTTAGCCTATTGAATAGTAGCTTCAGTAAGATAAGTGGCCCAGACAAGAATAATAAATGAGAATTATGAGACAGTAAAAGAGGCTTACCGAATGATCGCGATGCTTGCGATCTTTATCCTTGTGCTTCTCTCCGGACTTCTTTTCTAAAGCAATATGAGTCAAACCTTGTTACCAAAAGTTCTTGAAACCTCATAATCATAATTACAAAGGAAATTCAATTGAATGAAGGTTTAAAACAAACGGGCAAAAACAAAAGATATCTTCATTATGAAGTTCTTCGAAGTTTAAGCAAAGCGATCTTATAGAAATTGAGCGAAAACAACTATATATGACACACCAAAGGAGACATCAACATGCAGTTTCATTGTCGAAAGTCGGAAAGTCAAATATTAAAGAAAAAATGTTCAATGAAGATTTATCATCAATTGTGCTGTCATAATTTTTCCTTTCTACTCATCACAACTCTTGTTCAGAGACAAGTGGACAACTACATGACGATTCATTCACACAGATTTTTTCATAAGAGTCTTCGCTGTCAAAATAAGTGAAAAGGGCAAGACCTCTTTTTTATCATCATACCGCAATAAGCTAGGATTTCTCAAGACAGTGATATGTGTAAATAGTGAGTTGTGTTCGGTCTATTGGCCTGAGCAACATGAGAAATCCTGGTTAAGACAAACTTTATCTTCAATTCTTCATTAAGGCAATGCAGTTTAAGTTGCACTGTGTTTGTTGAATCGTATCTTACGCCACCAATCATGCTAAGGCCGCTACGCAACCATCTTCAAGAAGTGTAACCCCACCTTTACCAGTTATTTTCCATAATTTTTTAGAGCTCAAAGCAGACTTATATCTACCAACCAAGGTTATTGTTTAATTTCCAAAACCCTAATAGCAAAATTATTCCTCTTCGGAATTAATCATTAAAGAAAATGCCTGCCAAGCCCAGATTTTTAGTTCAAATCCGTGAGTATTGCAAAATATGTTTACTGATCAATTATTACCATCTGCGATAATTTAGGGGGAAAAAAAGAATATGTACCTGACGTCTGAGAAACAAATAATTATTCAAGAGATAAAATAATAATAATAAATAAATAATCTCGATTTGCAAGATGTTAAATAACCAATACCTTTATCAGAATGGCGTTTGGAAGATTTATGGGATTTGTGCTTCTTATTGGATTTCTCTTTCTTGTCAGCGTTTCCAATTTTCACTCTTTTGCTCTTCGCATCATCTGCCCAAAATTACACAAAATTACATACCTACGTCTACGTGTGTACAGTAATCATCACGTTTACAATTGATTAAAAAAAGAAACCTCGCGGAGAAGAGGAAGAAGTTCTCTTGAGCTTCTTCTTCTCAGCCTCCCTTGATTTCCTATCGCTGCCCATTAACTTCTGATCATATGGAAAGATTGTTTTCTTTGTTCTTTAAGACAGTACACATTTTTGCAGCACTGTGAAAAATGGGGAAAATTGCAAAGGAGACTCTCAAATTATGGTCTATTGTAGCTAAACAGTCCTTAACTTTTCATTTGGAGTATTTTAATCTTCAAAATTTAACAAAATCATCCAGTAGACTATTTGATTTTTAAAATTTTCATGATTGGGAAGTCTTTATAAACGATTTAAATAACAAATAGATAAAATTGACTATAAACAGGTGAGTAGTATTTTTAAATCTCTTGAAGTATATGAATAAAAAATGATTAAAATATTTATAAATAATTTATTAAACATGAGCCAAACATAAGTTAAATTTCATAGAAACACTATTATAATATCAATATGTGATGCGTGCAACGTAATCACTTTCAAACAAAGAATTTGCTTGAATTGGAATTCTACTTAACTCAAGAAAACAAAATGACATCACGATTGCAATTTTTGTCTTCATAGAATTGTCCTTTGATAGATCCCGTCATTCTTCATGTGAACCTTTTCACGTAGGTCAGGAATGCTCATATAGTCTTATTTCATGAATAAAGCATTAACCATATAGTCAAATTATTAAGAAAATTATTAATTAAATAAAAGATAATATCAATTAGGAAAACTAAAACCTTGTTACCACTCATAATATTATCATTTGGCTTCTTTTAATTATAAACATCTAACTCTATGCTCTTTGTTAGCCTGTATGGCATCATACACAAACTACGAACAATGTATTCCAATAAAGCAAGGTGATACACTGAGTTAAAAAGTTCATTCGAGATATAGAAATGGTGAATAGATCTTGTATTACTCTTCCTAGTCATGGTCCCATCTATAGCATCGAGCTAAGTACAACTTTTAAGCTCGATCATCATAATCAATCATCATGACTGAAATCTCATATTACTAGATGAATCATGTAAAACATCTAGTCCCACCCAAAAAGAAAGTGTTTGTACACAAAAATTGAGCACCGTCATTATCCGAAGTAGGTGCACGAGTAAGCATCAAAAACTTCAAGCACAAACTCCCATTGAGCATCACACTATTTTCATCATTAGCACAATGGGCTAAGCAACTAAACATCATAGCCTAAAGTGTTCAAAATATATGAAGTGGTTGAAAGTACAACTTAAATAACAATTCAATCATAGCACATCTAATAGTCACAAATATTAAATTCATCAAGGTAAAATGATAAACATAATTCACACATGTTCAAGTCAATAATGTCACAAATTCCATGGGCATGTGATTTTTCATGCGTAGGGATTTGCTTCATTCAATTTAGTGTCGGTTTGGTACCATTAATTTGAAGAAAATCAATTTTTTGATTCAAACCAACGGAAATACTGAAGCATAAATTACATTTGTTTGATAAATAATAAATGACAACATCGAATTCTCGTTCTACCATCCCATCAACAAATTGTTATACGATTCCACGACACCCAACTATAAAGATCTCTATGCTAATACCCTTCATAGGATTATGGAAAAAAGCACTTTTAGGGTGAAAAGGGTGTATCACCATTCCAATTAGGGGCAGCAATCCAGAAGAGTGGCTCGTCGGCATGATCGCTCAACTCATAAAAAAGACGGATCGGACTTGTATTTGGACGAGCCTAAAGTTCACGAGCTAGTGAGCTCCTAAAAAAAGGGGAACAAAAGAGTCAAAAAAAAAAATTTAAAAAAAAAATAATAATCTCGAGCTTATGGACTCGGCTCGTGGGTCGAGCCTTGAGCACGAGCCTAGCTGGTGGGTAAATGCTCAGCCCATTGCCACCCTTAATTCCAAGTCCAAATCAAAATTGGAAAACTTCAATTGTGATTATCAGAGTAGGGAAATTTACTTGGATTGCCTTTTGTATAATATTTAATTAAATTATCTCAAATTCAAAATATTACAATTTGCTAAAAAAATAATTTTAATTCAGATTAAACAAGCGTGTTGTTTGAAAATAAAAGTTCAGGAATAACTAAGCAATTAAGAAAGTCAACAGAAATAATATGACTAGTTAAACTCCTATTGGTTGGGTAATTTATTTTTAGAGTTTAATTTGCTAATATAATTATATTTTATCAATATCCACTAATACAATATTAAAATATTTGGAACACTTTGATTCTAGACCACCTTATTAGTTTTCACTTACTTCAATTTCCTCCTCTTTTTTTTTTTTTTTCAATTTTTAACTAGACACAATTTTAAGCTCTTGTATGGCCTCAGTTTTTTAAAATTAATTTTTTATTAAATTTATTTTCTATCACAAATTTTATGAAATTTACAACTTTAATATTCTTTTTAATTATACGTTTTATAATTATATTTATCAAAATTTACTAAAACCCAGTTTGAGCCCCATTTTTGTAAAATTCATTTTTTCAAAATTTATTTTCAATCACACATTTTGTAATAAAATAATATTACACGCGAATTTAAATTTTTTTCATAATTTTTAACCACACATTCTCTATTAATTTACTATTCGAAATGCATTCTTTCCCCAAAAAAGGGGTTCAAACAAGGGCTAAATATGTGTTTTTGAAGAATGAATTTTGGAATAATAGATTGATAGAGAATGTGTGGCTTAAAATTGAAAAAAATTTGGATTTACGTACAATATTATTTTATTAAAAAATATGTGATTGAAATGATATCAAATCACTGATTAATAATGTATTTTTTGAAAAAATACAGCTCAAACATAGCTTTAATATTTAATTCTGAACGTAGCTAAGTGCTCATTTGACATGATTCTTGAAAAGTCTAAATAAACTTTTAAAAAGTTCAAAAGTTACTTTTAGACCCATTTAACTAAATTTATTAAAACATTTCTTCTAGTTAGAAAATATTTTTAAAAAATTTGATTCAATGTGACTTTTTTCAAAAGTGTTTTCCAAATAAAATTTATCGAGAATATTCTTTTAAAAAAAAACAAAAGTAAAA